AAAGGGAGAGGGAGAGAGAGAATCTCAAGCAGACTCCCCACTGAGTGTGGAGCCTGACTCAGGACTCAGTCTCACGACCCTGAGATCGTGACCTGAGCGAAACCTGGATGCTCAACCGACTGAGCCACCCAGGTGCTCCAAACCCCGATTCCTTCTATCTTTTGCTCCACTTCCCTTATATTGACTTCCATCCTATAGATATCCTTATGATTCACGGTGATTGCTAGAGCTTTAGCTATCCCATCCGAGTTCCCAGCAACAGGTAAAAAAGGAAGGGCAAAAGGGGGGTTACTTCCCAGTTAAATCAATTCCCTTTCACAATCCTTTTCTTAAGTCCTACCCAGCAGCACTTCTGATTATATTTCACTGGCAGAACTCAAGCGGACACACCTTGCTTTGCGAAAGGCTATATAGTGTGGTCTTTTTTTTTTTTTAATATTTTATTTATTTATTTGACAGAGAGAGACACAGAGAGGGAACACAAGCAGGGGGAGTAGGAGAGGGAGAAGCAAGCTTCCTGCTGAGCAGAGAGCCCTAGCGGGGCTAGATCCCAGGACCCTGGGATCATGACCTGAGCTGAAGGTGGATGCTTAACGAATGAGCCACCCAGGCGCCCCTAGTGTGGTCTTTTACCTGGGAGCATCACTGCCTTTACTAAAATCAGGGTTATATTACAAAAGAAGGGGAAAATATATGTTGGGTAGGCAGCAAATAGATTCTGCCATAGAAATTTTTTCAACAAGTTGAACTACAGTTTCCATTATGTGTGCACACACATACACATATGATCTTTATTGTATATTTCTATTTTGTGTAATTACACTTGAAAATTGGATTCCCTGTAAGATTTTTAGAAAGAATTTATGCTGTTCAGGCCATTTATTAAATCATGGATTTGGCTTTGTTATTATTTAGGATGTGTCATTAAAAACTAATCGTTTCCTGAATTGTCATGAATCTTGCTTCAAGGTCTTTGGAGATAGATAGTACTGTTGAAGTCACACTTGCATTGCTTATTAGCTGTATGGCTGTATGTGTCCCTGTTCTCTGTGCACACTCCATTTTTGTATATTTCATACTGCATTGCGGTGTGAGATTTATAGGCAAGTAAAGCCCAAATGTGAGCTCCTTGAAGAGCAAGAACTGTCTTACTCAGAATGAGTGATTACCAATATGTAAAATGAAAATTCTGCTGTTGAGGACATGTATAGGTTATAAGCTATTCCAAAAGGAGAGTTAGAAATACGTTTTTTTATAATAGAAGTATTGCTGGAATTAACATATAGTTCCTCAAAGGTGCCTAATTTCTGCATATGTAAAATGTAGATTACGTGAATTCACTGGGATGTTTTAAGGATTCAGTAAATTAATATTTGTAAAAGCACGTGTATGGTAATATTTAATTACTGATAGTGGTAGGAAAACCAATTTTCTCCAAACTCACACCTCTTATCCTGTCTCAGATTTCTAATTGTTTCGTGTTTGTTAATTTTGCTTTCCCAAGTATGTTTTATAAAAGCCGTTTCTTTAAACTCATTCTCTACTGCCTTAACCCAGTAATGTGATTTTCAGTTATATAGTCAATACATTGACCTCACATAAAATCAAGAAAGGAGTAAAATACATTATCTTAAAATGCACTAGCAGTTACTCAGAGTTTGTTTAATGGTGAAAAAAATTACCATATATGTGATTTTAGAAAGCATGTGTTTATGTGGGAGTATGGCATGTTATAGACTGAAGAAAGTTAACATTTCAAAGGGAAAAGAAGAAGCCCAAGGACTAGAGAAGTGTGGAGTAAGAGACACGGTATCATAAAAGCAGAGAGGTTAAAGGATTATAAAGGAAAACAGGTATTGGAGAAGCTCCTAAAGGCATTCAGAAAGTCCAAGAAAACTGAGTTCGTTGGAATTTACGTGTGGAGATCCTTAAAAGAGTGTTAATGAAGTGCAAAGAATCCAGTCCATATTTATTAAAGGGTAGATTAAATGGTAGAATCTAAGATACTGGTTTTCCATTTAATAAATTTGACCATTACCAGAAAAAAGAGAATGAAGTTAATGGGTTTCGTAAAAGCCTCTTTAAGATGGGGGTACATCTGAGGGGATTATGATAACATAACAGACCAAATTCTAGGAATTTCTTAGAACTGTGCAGACCGTGCATGATGGGATAGCCATCTGGGGGTCTTTGTTGATAAACTGTTAAAAACGTTTCTAGTGTGAATAGCCACAAACATTTTCAGTGCTTTTTTGTTGGTTGAGTAAACCGAAGAGCATGAATGCAAAAGCAAAATTTGATGCCAAATCACAGAAGTTGCCATAAACACAGAAGTTCCCCTAGTGAGGACACTGCCTGTGCCTGAATTTCATTTGTTTCTGCTGCTACCATTTCTTAATTTTTCCTGGTGACTAGCCAGATTAGAACTATGAATGAAGACAAACTGGTCTTGCCCAGATGGTAGATGAGATATAGGTGACTTAGGTAAGTGGAGAAAATATTTAAGGGTTTGATGTGATGATCTGGTCTGCTCTGGTCTATCTTAGAATGAAAAAGATGTGCTTATTCTTTGTCATGGGGGTTTGCAACCTTAGTATATGCCTAAATCTACAGCTGCTCCTCATTTTCCAGATGGCATCTATGGCTGGGAGTACTTTTTACCATCTGCACTTCTCAAAGAGTTTGTGAACTCTCTCTTTTAATTATTGGAAATGGAAAAACTAATTGGTAAAGTGGTTAAACGATGTAAAAGATTTTAAAAATTAAGTTAGAGCTTTTTACATCCTATTTAACCTTTTAAATAAGATCAGTGTTTTTTGACTTTCATCTTTGCCTACCTGCCATCTTTGATATTTGCAGTACTCCAAAACACTTTGTAATAACTATTTGTACATTGACTGGTATTTTGAGCCAAATTCCAAAACTCTTACCTCCTTCCAGTACTGTACTGTTTTTGACATGTGCATAAAGCAGCTAACACTGAATGAATGTAGAGTACAAACTAATGTGAATTGTTCCGTTCATTCATCCAATAATGTTTTCAAGTTGGTAAGGTATAGTGTCATGATTTGTAAAAGTAATTGAGAAAAACAAACTTTTTATGTGTTGCTCATGTTTCTATATATGTAAAACATTGAGATGGAGAAGCAATTTCCCACTTAGGTAATACTTTTTTACTAGTTGAGCATAATAGGAGTGACATCTGACTTAACAAATCATATAGTTTAAGTGAAATGAACATATTCTCTATCTAGGGAATTCTAGATTTGGAGTGTTATTAGCTTTTATTTTTCCTTCTTCCAGGTTTATGAGTCATAAATGTATTTTCTTAATGATGTATTGTAAATAAGTATCCTCTAATAATCAGGTACAGTACTTATTCACCATCTTTTCTCTTTAGGCAGGTTCTACTGGGGAAAATTCTCTAGATAGTTTGTCCATTTATAAAATTAGACACTTGCCATCTTTGCTCATTTTCAAGTTCTCTGTTTACAAAACTATTAAGAAGGTGTGAAATGCAGCCAAACTTCCCAGTTTATGGGAAATGTCTGATGATTGCATTTCCTACATGTTCATTGTTCACACATGAAGAAATTTGGCAGCTGCGAGACTATTAAGTTTAGAGTATCCAAATCTAACCCTCACTGGGATTTTGGTTTCCTGCTTTCCACCCCCACCATCTCACCCCTTTGGTAATCATATTTGTGGTAAGTGCTGTGGTGTTATTTCTTAAGGTTGACGATCCTTCAGTTTTCTGTGTTTTCCACTTATCAGATGCTATGAATAAATCATAGACCAGGAGTTCACCTGGTACAGAGTCCTGGCTTCAGACAGAAAATTACCCAAACTCTGAAGGAGGTTCCTTCTCAATAAAGAGGTTTTATGGTGGTGCCGTTGTTGAGAGAGGGGGCAGTGGTGATAGCTAATCGACATGCTGTAATTCTTTCGTAATTACCTGCTAGAAAATTTATGGTCATACACATGAGAGTTTGTAGCTAACTGAAAATAGTAGAAAATGGTTTGTGTATATTGTTTTGTTGATTTAATTTTACTTGATTTGGCTTTTAATTCAAGTAAGTTTTACTTGATTTGGCTTTTAATTCAAGTAAGTTTTTCCTGTTGAAAACTTCAGATTACTCTGTTTCTTCATGATTACTAAAGATCAGTCATGGAAAAGTGAGATTTTTTTTCTGAATACATGTACTACTTTTAGAGATTTAAATATGTAGAGTTATGAAGGGAGAAAACTGTATGATTTGTTAAGTGGATCAAAAGGCAGCAGCTCCTTTGATCCTAAGAGCTTCTCATAGTTAAATGGATACTGGGTGTGCATGGGTTCAGTTGGCCAAAAAAAGGCAACAAAGAAATGGGAAGTTGGGGCAGAGGTGTAATGAAAGTAGAACAAGGAAAAGGAGAATAGGACTAGTTAGCACCATGGTGCCCTAAGAACTGCCTCAGGCACTTCTCTCCTCCACTTTAGCCATCCCTCAGAGGGCTCTGTAACAGTTTCCAGATGGTGAATACTACCATGTGCTGGTCCAGTTTGACATATTCGGTGTCTTTTACGTATTTCTTAAGTCTGTTTTCAAAATGATGGTGGTAGGGGCCTGGGTGGCTCAGTCAGTTAAGTGTCTGCCTTCGGCTCTGGTCATGATCCTGGGGTCCTGGGGTCGAGCCCCTCGTGGAGCCGGGCTCCCTGCTCAGCGGGGGCCTGCCTTTCTCTCTGCCACTCCCCCTGCTTGTGCTCTCTCGCTCTCTCTCTCAAATAAATAAATAAAATAAAATAAAAATACAATAAACATAAATGATGGCGGTAATAGTTTTTATTACACTGAAGGTTATTCTGAAGATTAGCAAACTTGCTTTTTTGTTTAGTAAGTCACTTGAATAAAAGGTTCTGTGAATGAAAATTATGATCACCATTGTCCTCAGTTGAGTGTTCTGCGGTGGGAAAAGTAAATTCGGAATTTGAAACTCTGTCCTTTGTGTCTCATTCACAGGCTGTAGAAGAAGAAGATAAGATGACAGCAGAACAGCTGGCAATAAAGAATGTCGGCAAGCAGGTGAGGTATACTGGAATAGGTTATGCGGTCGCACAAAGACGTGCTCTTGTAGAGTTAAAGCTGTGGGAGGGCCTGTATGATTTTTTTTTCCCTGTTTGTTCGCTCTACATTTTTCTTTTGTCCTGTAACTATGATGCTAATTTTAAAGGTCACTGAATTACTTGATGTCAAATTCTCTTTGCCATATATAGTGAAGTCACAAATAGATCTGTAAGATACTCTCTTTAGTGAAAATGATTTACTAGAAATAAATCAAGAAACTTATGTCCTGAGTTAATTATTCAGGTGTTATTTTTACTTGAAATAATATTACCGGTGAAGATAATATAATGGTTTATTTCATATGTAACAGTTTTTTAAATGATACATTTTGTCAATATGTAGGCTTCAGTTTGTAGGTAATGTTCCTGAGAAGGCTGAGAGCCCCATTGGATTATAGTGAGTGAGGAGAAAGGGTTTTAAGTATTTGCTCTTTCACATTTCCAAGATGAAATATATATTTTAGTTCCTATTTTCTGAGGGTTGGGGGAACACACCAGCCAATTAAAAGAATCTACAGATTAATTAGACTGTTTTTTAAAGAATGTTGATTACATTTTTTTCATTTCATGGAACATGGTTATCATATTGCTGATGTTGGCAGAATCTTGATATTTCAGATGCAAGACACTAAGCTGTCTTTGCTTTCAGCCATCCTACCATATGCTCTGATCCCATCACATCTCACAAGCTATGTAGGTTTGGGCCAGGACCATTCTTGGATGGGAAATCTCTAAGAATCACCCAGCTGCCACAAGAAGTAATGTAGATAACTGAGGGAAGTGTGTTACCAGTTCACTACAAAACCAGTTACTCCAACAGAGCAGTAGGGGCAAAGGTCTGACTTAAATATCATAATTAGTGAAATTAAATCTCACTACATTCTGAATATTATAATTTAAAAACAGCTAGAACCCTCCCCAAACAAAATGAAGTATAGTTCATCTTGTTCTCTCATCCTGTGTGATCTGGTTACCTTGTCTTTTCCCACTACTTACTGTAGTCCTAATATCTATTATTAGATCACCAACTTGGAGTCTTGCACTTGATAGAACTCACTAACTATTTTTTGAATAAATGACTGTGAGGCTACGATGTAGATTTTAGCAGTTAGCAACAAATAAAAGGTCTAAATTAAAAGTGAAGCTGAAAAATATGTAATGGGCAAAGTCGAATAATCATCAGAATCATTTTTTTTAATCTAGCATTTAACTGGTTTAGCCTATTGCGTGGCAAAAGCAAAACTGTCTGTAATGGAATCAGATCACTATCTTTTACTCCTGCCAGTCTTTCTCAGACACTTTCACCTAAGATTTCCTAAGGCTTATTTCTGAAATAAAGAAAATTTAATATGTGGCCTAATTACTTGAAATTATTTGTAGCATGTTGCATCTCTGGGTTGTTTAAGGAAATCAAGCATGTATTGAAATTGTAATTTAGAAAAGAACAGCCAAGAAATAATTCCAGTGATGAGCATTTGTTTAAAGTCAGGAGTCTTGGGTATTTTAGCAATACCCATACAAAAATAATGCTTTAATTGAGAATTTTTTATTGTGTGCAATATATATTTTAAAGCCTTCACATTTTAGTTGAAATACTTCGTTCAGCTCAGCCTTAAACATAAATATATTTAAGCATTTTAATTTAACTTCATTTATTACAGTGTTATTTTAAGCTCATTTTTAACTCAGATGTTTCAAATATAGATTTGATCAGGTTTCAGTTAAAAGATTGTACCTATATGCTTTTCTCTGATACCTTATTTTTTCAAAATAGCTGCAGAAAATATGTATTCTTAGCATTATTTTATACACATTATATACATGTAAATTATGTATATCTTAACATTGTATTTAAATTTTTAAACAACTAACAGTGACTTTTGATCCAGGAGTATTTCCTGAATCATTTAAAGCACTTTTTCCTGAAATACTAAAATTCTACAGGAACTAAATTTAAATTAAAATTGCAGAGGAAGTGATGAGAAAGAATTCACATTGAACTCTTACCTATTGGTGCGTCTGCTTCGAGTAAAGAACCTCTTAGACAGTCAATAAATATGAATGACAGAAAATATGCACACATACTTGGGCTTATGTACACTTATAAATGCTTATACTTTGTTTTTAAAAAAATCAGATGCTGCAGCTGTATAGAATTCCTTGTTACTCCATAATTTCTGGTATAGAGTCGAAGCATTGATTGTATAAATAAGTTTTTTACTGTGTAATCTATTATTTTATCAGGTTTTACATAAATCAGTTTTTCATTGTGTAATCTTATTTTATCAGGTTTTATCTAAGAACATAACAATATATTAGGAAAATTAAATTGTAAAATATGTATAAATTTAGGTTTGGCTTTCTTTACCAATTTCATCAACTACTTAAACTAAGTAATTCTTCTATCAGTAATATGGTTCTTTTTTCTTTTTCTTTCCTTATTTTTTTATTTAGGACCCCAAACGTCATTTGGAGGAACATGTGGATGTACTTATGACTTCAAATATTGTCCAGTGTTTAGCAGCTATGTTGGATACTGTCGTATTTAAATAAAACAATGCAAAAAGCTATTGGTGATACTTTCAGCGTATATTCCTCTATTGTTCCTAATGCTCAAAATCAAGGGACCTCTGAAGGTGTGTTTGGTTAAATGTAAGACATCTGGCATCATTTGCAGTACTGTAACACCTTCAGTCTCGGTTGTGCAATTACTTCTGTTTCTTTAGTCAGGGTCTTTGCAGATTCCAAAGTTGTATAAGAATACATCAAAGTGGACAAATTTTGTTAAGATCCCATTTAATATTTGAAGAAATCAGTAACACAAATATATTTTGATTGTTGCTTACAAAATAAAATACATTTACAATCTATGTCTCCTGAGGTTTTTTGGCACTGGGTGGAATTGAGAGAGTAACATTTGACAGTGCTCTCAAAATCTCACACAAAGATATGTTTCTCTTTGCAATTTAAGATCTTATAATACATAAAACATCAGTGTGATAACAAAACTTCACAAATATAAAATGATCACCATTAAGGAGTTGCTACCCCATTAGTGAGTAACCCAGAAAAAAATGTTGACATATTTTATTAAAAGTATCTGTCACAAATTAATATTGTATAGTCAGTATCTTAACATATTATACTTTCCAGGGTTTCAGAGGAGTACATTTAAGAAGAAAAAGGGAACAATGTTAATTTAGACTTTATTTTTTTTTTAAAGAATACATTCTACCAATGTTGAGATTACCTGGAAGCTGTCTGCTTCAAACTCCACTAAACTTTTAGCTAAGACAGCCATAGAAGGTATATAATCTCTTCAAAGCAAATTAAGAAAAGGCACCATAATGTGAATTTAGTATCATGAGCACATAAGAAATAATTTTGTTACTGTTTTCTCTCATCTTCCCAAATTAACTTAAAAGTACTCAGTTTTCTGATAAAGACACAAATTTGACTAATAGCAGGTTTTATAGATGACCTTATCCCTCAACCTGTTTCTAACCTGATATACATAAATAACTGCCCCCATTAATACTCATGGCACAGCACCATTCTGGGTATACCAAGGAGTATGGGAAAACATATGGAGACAGATTTAATTCTTGTCTGTATCCTTTGTGAAAATATGGTAAAATGTTTGTTTCTAAGGCTTCATTAAAAGAGGGTTTTACTTGGGGACTTGGAATTTAGACTTAACCCCTACTAGAGGTGGTAGGAATGTGTGGTAGACCAAATTACTGTCCTATTTGAACAATTCTAGTCTCTTACTGGTTGCCTAATGAACAATTACCAGAAACTAAAAGTAGAAATGGCTTAAATTCCCACTTTGTTTCACAGTCTCTTTTTTGGTAGAATAAGGGGTATTCTGAGCATTTGCTTGTCCTGTGGCTTTTTCTCTTATATATAGTCATAGTATGTTTTATGTAGGACATGTAATATGTATTAATTGTTGAGATTACAACAGCTAACCATTTACAATTAAAATACAAGTGGAAGTTAGCAGAAGTTTTCCTTTTGCCTAATTTAATCTTGTGTGCAGACTTTTTGAATACATGATCTTTCCCTTTACATAAATAAGGTTCGATGATTTATTTCACAGATAATCATTGGAGCTAGTCAAGATTTTTTTCATACAGTATGCCCTTAGAAGAAGGCCTCAATAATCCAGAGGCTATTCTCAACATTCCATTTGAAATACTTTTTTTTTGTTTTTCATTTTAGTCTCCTGAAAACATCTGAGAAGGCTTACACAATGCCTGCCTTTTGCTCTTATTTGATCACCTCATTGTCGTGGACTCCCCACAACCAGTACCACTTTCTCCTGCTTGGTTCATGTTGGAAACACTCCCAATTTCAAAACCTTACCAGGATCCCTCCTAGCAAAAACCTGCATTTTCTTTCGAGATTTGGAATGGATCAAAATTAGGATGCTCTGAGTGTCAATGAACACTTTTGTCCTGGAATGTACAGCTATTTTAGCAGCAGCCTGGTAGCTCGGGTCCAGTTAGGCATTGAAATGACTTATTTAATCACAAGCTCAGTAAGGTGTGTATGTGCTTATGTGGGCATCTTTACCCATCTATTATGCAGCGTTAAAGCAGCACAAGAACCAAAACTCCTGCTTGCCTCTAGTATAGAGATGTCCCTGCTTTCCTCTTTGACTAACATGGGGCCATTGGAAGCTCCAACCTCACTATACAGTGTGATCTGCCTGGACCAGGAGCACCTGGCTCTTCTGGGAGCTCATTATAGATAGAGAATCCAGGCCCCCACTTCAGACCTGAATCAAGAATCCTGGCAAGGCTCATATGCACTTTAAAGTCTGAGAATCCCTGCTGCACGCAAGTATGGCTCAAGAGCAGGTGTGCTGATCTTGAGGAAAGTGAGTTTTCCCTTTTGAGCATATGTAAGTTCAAGATATAGCCTGTAATGAGGAATCACTGAATTTAGTACTGATAATCTTAAGTCAGACTTGCACATTTATCTCCTATTCCAATTCCTTAAAAACTGAGGAAGGTTCACTCTATTCCTCTTCTATACTTTAACATTTCATTTTTGCATTCTTCATTCTTTAAAAAGTTAATTCAGGATGCCATGAATGAGAAAGCCTCCAGAGCCCAGGTGCAGTCTTGCCTTTTCGGCTGCCTACTTAAGGCTCTTGGCCCACTGAGAAAGGGGCGGAGGGTAACCTTGGAAGCAGGGGACAGAGAGGCCCTCAGAGACAAAGAAGTTAATGATCGAAGAAAGGAGAAAACAAGTCTAGCCAAAATTGGGCAAAAACCTCTCAGGAGAAATGGTGGTGGAAGGTAAAGGGCAGAAATACCAAGTGTCAAATAGTGTCATAGCTACTGTCCCCTCCCCCGCACCCCGAAGCCTCAACAGCCAAGGCCCTGCTTGTTGATGAAGCTTCATGGCCAGGAGCTGAGCTTTGCTTCCGAAAAGAAAAATGGACCTGGCTGTATTTTTCTCTCAGAAAACTGTCTCGGTTTCAGTCGGACATCTGGTCACCCACTTGTCCCTCCCAGGGCCGTCCGCGCTGGGCCTGGCTCGCGGCACCCTGCTGGAGGCACAGCTGGTGCCCTCTGCAGCCAAGGCGCCCAGCCCGCCTCGAGATCTCAGGCTGGGCTCCGCGCTGACCGTTCGGCCCACTGAGGCAGCGCTCTTTAAAAAGGCGTCCGCCTAGGCGGAAGTCGAGTCTGGTTAACCCCTCTCTGCCCAAGTCCAGGACCCACCCAATGTCCCCAGCGCCGCTCTCCGTCAGGGAGGTGCCGAGGCCCGAGGAGGGCTGACGCGCCCTCTCGAAGGCTTCGGCTGCACCGGGCGGAGGTTCCCGGGCCGTGCCTCTGCCACTGGAAGAGTGTGTGCCCCCGGCGTCTGCGCCAGCGCGGCTCTCCCCAAGCTCCCTGAGCCTCCCGGGCGGCGGCTGCCTCTCGGGACTGCCGGGGAGCTGGACAGCCTACGCTCAGGCCGCTCGGGGACGTTAGACAATGGACCAGAGCCGGGCGGATGGCCGGGCGCCGGGAGGGCCGCTCGGCTGCCAGCCCTAGCAGTGCTCGGCGCGGAGCCCGCCCGCCTGTCGGCCAGCCTGCGGGGCCCAACTGAGCTCCCGCCGCGCTCCTCCTCCTCCTTCCCGCGCGGCTCGGCGTCCCGGGGAAAGCCGCAGGAGGGCAGATTGGCGGGTGCCGCCGCCGGAAGCAACTTGGGGCGGATAAAGCCTCTGTGCTCTCGGCCCTCTGGTCCAGGCGCAGGGCTGGGTTCCTCTCTAGAGCCAGTACTGGGAGATTTCTTCCAACATCTCAGGGTCGCTTTGGGCCTCGTGCTATTTATTTGTGCCAACATCCTTTTAAATTGGTTATTTTCTTTATTCCTCCGTAGATTCTTCCTCATTTAAAACTTACTGGCATGGGGTTTTTTTTCCCTCCTCTCCAGATTATATAAACGTTACACACACACACACACGCACACACACACACACACACACACACGTCTTCGGTATCGATCACTGCGTTGACACCACTTCCACTCTGTCTCCCCAGATCAGCGCTTCCAAGCGAACCCATTTGCACGAGGACTCGGCCCTTTCTTTTCCTGGCGAGGCTTTTGAACCTTGTCGCCAAGCCAGTACCTCAGAGAGAAGGAAGTGCAGTGGGACGCGCGGCATGCATGGCGCCTGCCCCCAGTTAGATGCTCTTCAGATAATCTGCAACCAAGCTCGCTGATAAAATATTTAGTAAAGACCTCGTAAACATCACTGCAAATACATTAAAGCACTTAAGCCCGACAGCTTATGATTATTTCAAAACTTAAAAAGGTGATCATGGATTGTCACTGTTTCTGTGCTCAAGCAAGAAACCGAACCTTCCCGAGGTGGGTGGATGGGTGGGTGAGTTGCAGCTTTTCGCCCCCACTTCTCCCCCCTCCCGCTCACTTTCATCGCTGTGGCTCTCAGCAGCAGTGATTTATTTATTTATGTATGTAGTTAAAAAGGTGTGCGTGGTGGGGGGGGGGGCGGTTCGCCGAGGACACGCAGGACCTGCTCACAAAGGACTGGCTCAGGTGTTATGTGCTTCTGTATTAACTGGAAAAGACAGACTCTGGAACTTTTACAGGGCGAGAAGAGGCCACCGGCTCGCGCTTTGTATACTTTGCACTTGAAATCGTTACATTCAACTGAATATTTGGCTCATTCAGATCCGAAAAGTCTCCTAGCATCATCGAATTCCCTCCTCCGCCCCTCGGCTGGAGAGGAGGGAGGTGGGGGGAAGGTAGGGAAATGTTTAGTAAATTGCACATCTTTGAATCTTCCTAAAGCAGTGGTCACAAAGCTTAAAGGTGACACAACAGTGCTCACGTAAAGCCAACACATATTCCCCACCCCCAAGCCAACAATAAAATCATCCCCTTCAATTTGCCATGATCGTCGCGACCAGGAGCCAGGTGATTATCCTAATTAATGTCTATCTAATTAAATTACTGTCAGCAGTTAACCAATGGCAGGAGCCGTTTCATCGGCTGCACAAGCAGCAAGATCAAAAGTGAGCCTTTTCTGATTGCTGCATAGTGTCAATTGGCCAATCTCTTCTCCCAGGGAAAAAAAAAAGTAAATCAAACCTTTGAGAAGCATTTGCTGGTTGAAGTGCTTTCTGTCTAGTGAGGGGGTCTGTGGATTTCTAGTTTATGATAAATAGGACTTTAAAAACCAGGGACAGGAGGGCGAGTGTTCAGGTTCTAGAGCTATGCAGCTGGAGCACTGCCTTTCTCCTTCTATCATGCTCTCCAAGAAATTTCTCAATGTGAGCAGCAGCTACCCACATTCAGGCGGATCTGAGCTTGTCTTGCACGATCATCCCATTATCTCGACCACTGA